TACTTTGTCACATAACATCCACCACAGAGTTTCGCCTTGGACTGCAAACTACAGGGAGAGTCACATGGTTGGGCAAGATGAGTCTGTAAAGCTGAGAGATTATTTGTCCAACCGCGGTCCTGATGGCCAGGTGCAGCCCGCAAAGTGAGACAGGTTCTGGAAACTGACTGGGCTGTGAAGGGTTAAGTGGGGTGATTACTTCATCTGTGCTGTTTGCCCAATAGCGCTCTTTTGAAAGCCCCAACTGGTGCACATGGTGGGAGCTTTTCCTGCTGTCCTGGACCCTGTTAAAGTTCTGTGAGCATCCCCTTAGCTGCTGAATTCCAAGACCAATTCACACTCCTGGGAACAGGAGGCCATGGATCTTCAGAGATACCGCTCAGCCTACGTGAAAAGATTCCATTATACAATGCTCGCCTCTAAGTGTCTTACAGATTTGGAAAGGCATCTGAAAGACCAGTAAAAACAGCAGCTAAAGGGTTTGAAAACAGTAGCATTCAGTCTGGATGCAAGGGGCACCCAGATGCTACAGGGTTATTGAATGAAAATCCCAGTGCCAGGTGCAGGTGCTTAACTACAGTTATTAGCAAGGGAGGCTTCTGAGGGCCACCTACCCCTGCACACAACACGGCTATTGCCTCTGCTGTTTGCATGCCCGAACTAGAGAGTTTCTGTTGCTGAAAATCTTGCCCACTCAGGCTGAAGGTTCTGGGTAAACTCACCTGGGACTGAAATGGAGACATCCTCTCTAATGGATGACTTTCCTAGCTACTATGTTAGCTGCTGAGGGAAACAATGGTCCTGCTCAGCTGTGGACTGGTTCCATGTATTCATACCCCTAGCAGGCCCTGCAAGACGTGACCCCTAGGAGCAATAGTGGCACAACTGTCTGGGCGTGACCAACTCACTTCCGGTTTAAGACTTATGCCACAGAGGGAATTCAGGTTTGATACTAAAAACCGAAATAAAAAGTTGTGGCTCAGAAAGGCCATAGGCTCAATGGGGAGGTTGCTGTTATTGTTTTGTTAAATGGATGTGTTGTGTCTGTGGCCTTCTAAACATCTATGTTTATGGCCATAGATTAGCTCTGCTGTTGGTCAGGGTAGCAGTTGCTATGAAAACTCTGAGCTGGTTACATTGTCTAGAATAAATGGCTTTTACTGTGGTAGAATGGTTCAATGCTCAGCTCTCAATGGAATAACATAATTATACATCGTACTTACCACTCCTCTGGGGCTCAAGGCACATTGAGGGAGAGGAAAGAATGTAAGAGCAAGAAGCAAAGGTGTTAAGAAACTTTACACTGTGGGTTGCACGTGCTCGCTGCCATCTTGAATCAGAACAACTGTAATAACCCACATGAGATACTTAGCCGTTAGGCCTAGAAACATTCCCTCATGGAGCCCAGAGGGAGGTTTTCTAGACCCATGAGGCTCACAAATCCCCACCTCCCCAAGGTTGTAGAAAGGTTGGAGAGTTGCTTATGAGAGGCAGCGTCTTAGCAGTGCAGTCAGTCACAAGCTGTCCGTGCTGCAACCACCATGAGCAGGACACAGTTGCAGGGGCACAGCTGCAAGCTGTCAAAAGGACGTCCTGACGGTGCAGCTGCCTTGGTGTCACCCATGTGCCTGTAAACACTAGCCCCCAACCAAATGGCTCACACAACTAGATTTAGACAGAAGTGTTCTAGTCTGTTGGTACCTGCTCTATCTGGGGTGATTAAACGTTTCTTTACATCTTTCTAGAAGTCCCATGACAGCTAGCCAGAAACACATGGTAGGACATGCCAGAGGAAAACTGCTCGCTTTAGAGCAACCAGGAAGGAGAAAGAGAGACACACAGAGAGAGTTGAGAAACTGCCAAGGGACAAGATAGGCCTGCCCCTAGAGAGCCACTAACTTGAACCAGGCCCCACCCATTAAAAGTTCATTCAGCTAGTAATTTAATCAGTGTATTAACTTGTGAGTCATTCATCTCCTAAATAAATACATGCATGGCTGTTTGCCTACATGTATATCTATGCACCATATGTACACCTGGTGTCCACGAAGTTCAGAAGAGAATGTCATATGTCCCATTGGAGACACATCCAGGTGTGAGACACCGTGTGGATGCTAGGAGCTGACTCTGGACCGTCTTGAAGAGCAGTCAGTGGTCTTACCTGCTGAGCCGTCTCTCCAGCTTTCCAGTATCACTTAAAGACCTATTAACTGCAACCAGCCCTCTAATTCACAAACCTTTGTGTATTCTACCCGTATCAGATTGCAGTAATTACCACTCTTTGTATTAAAAACACACTACAAAACACGAGAGTGTGGAGATAATCCACGCTCACTGTAAGAACATGTTAGTGTGCAGGATGAGTCACAGTCCCAAACCGAGGCTACTGTCAGCATGCTCGGGTAGCCAGTGCTGTTGAGACAACTCAGCCTTTTTTCTGCCAGCTTGACAGTGTTGCCGTTACATCCCAGGAGGTGAAGAATTTCCCCCTCGGTCGATTTCTGAGTCATCCTTGGGAAGAATTGACAATCTCTATGATGCTCTCCCTTTTGGAATATTTTCACAAACACAAAACACAGTGATGATTCTGCCCCTGAAGACAGCACATAGTTCATATGCGTGTTGCCATAGCTCAGGGCCCATTCATGATACTTTCACAGTCATGCACACGTGCACATGTGCGCGCGCGCACACACACACACACACACACTTTCTTTTCTGAAAGAGGGTTTCATGTAGCCCAAATTGGCCCTGAACTTCTGTGTAGCCAAGGAGGACGCTGATATTCTGATCCTCCTGCCTCCACGTTCCAAGTCCTGGGATTATAGGCTTTCATCCTCACACCTGGTGTTATGCAGTGCTGGGGATCAACCTCAGGGACTCATGCAAGCGAGGCAGGTGCTGTAGGAGCTGAGTCACATCCCAGCCCTGTTCTGAGCCCTGGAACACTTTGCTATTTCCTCTTTCCTCCCTCTGCACCTAGAAGTGACAAGTCTGGGCGAGGAAGAAGAGGAAGAAACATAGAGAATAGTGTGCAAGGGAAAGCAAAGGGCAGGAGGGGCAGGGACAGGAAACCGGAGCTATCTCACAGACCGACCGACCATCAAAGGAGATGCTCCAAAGTCCAAGTCTTCAGTTAACTTCGGTGTACAATTTCTTCCTACAGCAAAGTACAACTTCACTTTAAACTATTTATTTAAAATCCTGCATATCATTCGTATGGGTGTTAAGAACAAACTGCCACATGATTTCTGGACATCCCCTATTTGGAAAAGTTTTGTTCCTGAGCCCTGGTCCCGAAGATAGCAAATTCTAAGTGATAAGTGATAAACCGTATTTATTTGAACAGACAGAGCAAACCATTAGTCCTGATTAAGTGGTGAGTTGACTGATGGCAGAGAAAACACATCGGGATTCACACAGGAGCTGCAGGGTGGACTTTGGTAAGCAAGTGTGCTAGACAGTAGTTGACTCCAAAAATTAAACCGTCTGTTTTAAGGGAAGTTCATTAAACACAAGATGCTAAAGGGATGTGAAACACCAGGATGTTCTAAAGGGGAGTTGAACATTCCATCCTGCAGGAAATCCATTAAACCCGGGAAAGAAACAACTCTATGGCTTCAGGAAGTCTCTGAAACTGAGCAGATTCCCTCAGCCCCTCCTCCTAGGGAATACATAACATGTAAGGGCTGCTGAGAAACACTCGGATGAGATACGCTGCCTGGAAGAAGCAGAAATCAGCTGAGCTGCCTGGAAAGGACCGTCTCCAACCTGTGAGCTGCCTGCAGGCTGTGTAGTGTGCTCAAGGGTCCCAGCTTCAGGGAGCTGTCACTCATGCTGGGGTGGGCTTTGGTGATACAGCTGTCTGGGTCATTTCTGCTCCTGTTAGCGTCCCCTCACCCATACTGCTGCAAGTAATCCAACAAAACTGATTAGTTCACCAAGAAGGATTTTGGTGCTAACCTTATTTCTGTCAACCACAGATTCCCTATGCAGAGCTAGATGTGGTGGTACATGCCTTTAATCCCAGCCCTTGGGAGGCAGAGGTGTGTGGATCTTTGTGTTTGAGGTTAGCCTAGTCTACGTAGCAAGTTCCAAGACAGCCAGGACTACACAGAGAGATCCTGTCTCAAAAATAAAACAAAAACTCCAAACAAAAAAAGCCCAAAACAAAAAAACATTTCTCCCTGGGTCCCACTGTCATACAATAGATTAAAAGAGTTAGGGTGTAGCTCAGTGATAAGAGGGTGTGACAAGCATGTGTGAGGCCTCAGGCTCAACCCTATCACTGGAAGACAAGTACCTAAATAAGTTTTAAGAATCCATTAGATTAGAATGCCTGTCAGTTAAACAGCCTCAGTTGGCAGACCGCAGGGATGTCTTACTCTAGAGTGTATGACATCTGTGGTGACTGAGTAAGCTGGGGATGAAGGCCGAGTGTGCAGGATGCATGAAGCACCGGGTTCAACCCGCAGCGCTGGACTGCACACACCCGCAATTCCGGCCCTTAGGAGACAGAAGTGCAGGGTCATTCTCTGGTGCAGAAGGACTTCAAGGCAACCTGGGATACCCGAGACCCTGACTCAACAAAGCAAACAAACAAGTACCTCAGCTACTAAGCAGTATGCAAGTTTCTTCTCTCAGTGTTGGGAGCGGAATGCAGAGCCTCATATAGTCCAGGCAAGCACTCAGCTACCCGCTCCATCCCAACCCGAATGTGCTCCACTGTAGAGATGTGGAGGGCTTCCTGTTGCCAGGACGATAGTATTCTTTTTTTTTTCATGCTTCCGTCTCCTTTCATCCCATGCCTCTACTTCCTGTTAACCCAGCTGGATATTTCCCTTAACAAAAGCATCTGAATAGGTGTGGCGCTATTCCTTGTACCTTTAGGCTTGGTTCTACTAGTTGAAACAGACCCAGGCATCAGGGAACACTGAGTCACGGCAGAGTGAGGCTGCTGCTTTCAGGACTCCCGGTTCAGGAGTCTGTACAGGCATGTCTGTATGCATAAGTATAAAAATAGTTTATTTCCTGGATTTTATTCAGTACAAACGTCAAAAAGAGAATTCAATCAAAGAAGTTCCCAAACTTACTATCAGGCTGGTTTGCAGGGCAGGCAAAGCACTGGTCAAGTAACTGGAGATACTGGTGATAAAATTCGGAGTGTTAACTAATTCCAACAAACTCCTTTCTCCCTGGACCCACTGGGGCAGTATCATATATTCCTGGGATTTTCAGAGGTTTCTGTTGTTACTGACATGTAACATTTATTAAAAACCTGGGATATCCCACGACACTCAGTTCAGGTCACTGTTCCCAGCCACAGATGATCATTTTAATTCCCGTACAAAAGAGAGAGAAGGTGGGGTGGGGTGGGGGGTGGAGGGGGAGGCTCAAGCATGCGTGCATGCAAAACTGTTTATACTCCTGGTTAGTGTCACCATAAATCAGCTCAGAGATGCCCATTTACTGCAGTTGGTTGGCTCTGCAAAGCTCGGCAGGAATCAGGTCCCTCAAGGCCAGGTCCGCCAGGAATGTCTTCTCCGGGAGCACTGGCTCTCCAGTTAATGCTCTGCACCACTGCAGTAGAAGAGGGAACGTCAAACATTCCCTCAGCAAGTGTACTTCCCTTTGTCTCAGTGTCTCTAGGAACGGAATCTGTCACATTCTCCACCACAATGGCTGCCTTAAAACAAAAACGGAAGGAACGCTTTCCTGTGCTTCGGGTAGGAGACAAACGTGCTCTTGTAGAAGTTGTGGTTGAAGAATGCACACAAGGCTTGGCTGAAGAAGACGTACGTCACCACCAGCCACCAGGTTAAGTTGTGGAGCCCAAAGGTGACCGCCATGGAGATGTAGATCATCAGTTCTGCAAGGTAGTTGGCTGAAGACACATAATCGAACCAGTCTCCGAAGGGGATCCTGTGCTGGCAGTGAACGATCACACCTGAAACACAACAGCGGCGGTGTTTAACCGCTCCGCTTCCGAAACCACTGGCAGTACCTCTACCAAGTATCACCCCCATAGGAAAAACAACCATCCCGTCACATTTCCACTGGCCACCAACCACAGAGCCAGGCATGGTGTGGCACGGCTTCAATCCCAGCACTTGCGAGGCACAGGAAGGTAGAACTCTGTGAGTTCGAGGCCAGCCTGGCCTACAAAGGGAGTTCCGGGACAGCGAAGGATATACTAGCGGCCCCGTCTTAAAACAACAATAAACACAAAACAAAAAAATCAAACAAACAAAAAAATCTGAAAGAGTCTCTGTTCAGGTTTCCCATCAGTTCCCACAGCACACAAGAGCTCGGATGCCAGAGTCAGGGTGCATGAGTTCAAATCCTGCCTCTCCCACTTGATATCTCTGTAGCTTCACGTAAATTGCTCAGTTTCACTGTGCCTCAGTTTCCTCGTGCATAAAACAAGAATCCTGCAAACTGTACACATGAGAAGTTAGTCCAGCCTAACTTGGAAGTCAAGCTTCTTTCCTTCTGCTGGGTCATGCTACCCCATACTAATGTGAGTTTTCCACATGCTGATCAGACACGTGTGTGGTGCTGTCCCCAGAGGTGGGTACAGGACAGAATTACAGACCGTCCGGGAGATCATTTTACCAATGGGAGGGTCACGACTCAGGAAGGTGTCTTGTCAAAAAATGAGCATTTGATATCGACAGGGACATGAAAGAAAGGAATGAAGGGCAGAGAAAGCCATCCTCGGAGGGCTAGAGCCCATCTGGGAGGCGCTGGGAGAGACCTCACCTTTTTTGTTTCTCCTGAGGTTGCTGAGAATGACGTGGCACTTATACTGATGGGCGGATGACCAGAAGAACATCATCATTCCAAGGATGTGGAACCACCGGGCTTGTGTTAGCAGATTCTTCCCCAGGACATAGACTGCGGAAAGAGGAGCCACCCTATTAGCCAATGCTAATTCCAGAATCCCAGAGCTCTGAGAATAAGTCTTCATGTCACCTTGTATTATAGTATCATTATTTTGCCTCTGGACAGTGAGAGCAGCTTCTCAGTCTCCACAGCAGAGACCGAGCAACATCTTCTCTTGAACATTCTTCAAATGCTTCTGGCAAGAACAGTCCATCCCTGAGTGACTTACTGCGTGGTGAGATGCTTTGTGCTTCTACGATTGAGTTTTATTTTAAGCCTTGTGCTCACATTCTCCCATCAAGAAAAAAATTCTCTAAAGAAACATCTCCCTGAGCTGCCTCCCAGAGCCCTGTGAGAGAGATCCTGAATACAGAAAGCTGAGCTAACCCAGGCAGAGTGGTTACATACCTGCCATCCTAGTACTTGGAAAGCTGAGGCAAGAGGATCAGGAGTTCAAGGCCAGCTAAGGCTGACTTGGACAACACAATAATCACCCCTGCAAATACAAGAGAGAGAGAGAGAGGAAGAGAGAGAGAGAGAGAGAGAGATAGAACATGTATGCCTAGTTCTGTCTAGTAGAAAGGCCTTCTGAGGTAAAGGGTGAGCGGTCTCTCATAAAAGAAACGTAAACGCTAAGAACACTTAAACACTTAAAAAAATGTCCTTTCTGGATTAGAGTCAACCTAGTCCGTGAGACTGTTCCTAAAGCAGAAGAGCTGATAGCAAAACCTTCGTTTTGGTGTAGCAGCAAGAAGAGAAGACAGGCTGCTGAAGGATTCCTAGAGCCACCAGAACTGAAAAAGCAGACGGGACAGTCTTGTCTTAACTGAAGAAGCAGAACTTGTCCACTGAAAACTGGCAAAAGCCCGGGACTCTGGAGCTAAGGCAAAGGCCGAAAACGCTGACTCGGGCAAGAGCACCAAGGATCACGCTACTCTACACACAAACCCACAGTGGGAGTCAGCTGAGATAACTCATGGCTAACCAGAATCCGCCAAATTCACCTGTGGCGATTTCAGTTCTAACCCGGTTCTTCTGGACTGCAGACACGCCTTTCACTTGCATAAGAGCCCTGTGAGGTCAGTCTGTGGCCCTGACCACTCACAGAGTATCTGAGCTTGAAGAAACTCCATCAAGTGGACATCGGCCAAGCACACACGCAAACCTACAGTATTTCTACCAGGTCCTACAAACAGCAAATGCAGTGTTTCCCACTATGGTGGTGAATTTTATTTGTGTTGTTGAGATCGGGTCTGACTATGTAGACCTGGGTAGCTTGGAATCCAATATATGGACAAAGCTGGCTTTGAACTTGAAATGATCCTCTTGTCTTTGTGCCATAAATGCTGGGATTATAGGCGTGAGTTACCGTGCCTGCCTAAGATACATAAGCCCACTGCTGGGCAAGTGTTCTTCCATTTAAACCTCTTCATGAGGCTGCTTCTTGTCGTGTGTCTGGTCTCAACAAAGAGGAGGAGTAACTAATCCAGTCATGATGCCCCAGGGGCTCCAGGGGACCCTGTGAGGGGTGATTGGGAGAAACAGAAGCAGGGGCACAGAGGAGTGGTTGGAAGGATGTTTTTGTGGGTGTCTTAGCTGTCTTTTGTAAACATTTTTATGGAGCAAAATTAGAAGCTGGACTCCAGCCACAGAAGAAACTCAGAAAAGTGAGGGAAGGCCAACAGAAACAGACAGAGAGAAAGCTGGTGGGCAACCAAGGAGTTCTGGAAAGTCCCCCTGGGTGAAAAGCCATGGTAACTGGCTGAGCATCTGAATGCCGTAGTGGAAGACGCTGGAGGAAAACCTGACTTGATTAATGGTTAACACGATAGCTTGAGAGAGAAATGCCCTGCACAGGCTCAGGGACTTGGTCTCTAGTTGGTAGCACTGTCTATGGAGCTTTAGGGGATGCAGCCTGGCTGGAGGGAGCGCACCCCGAGAAGTGAGACCCTCTTCCTGCTCCCAGTTCACCCTTTCTGCTTTGTGTCATGGTTGACGTGTGATCTCTCAGCTTCCCGCTCCGCAGGCCAGCTGCCGTGCCTCCCCACTGTGAAGGATGCAACCCTCTGGAACTGAGATCTTCCTCCTGGAAGTTGTCTGACCATAGTATGTTACCAGGGCAACAAGAAAGTAATTAATACAATGCGGTCCAGAGGACTTAGGAGAGATGCTGCCTGAATGACTGGAACTGGTAAACAAATCACAAATTGAGAAGCTGTCTGGTTGATGAGCCTGCCTTTCAAAGAATTCTTCTTGCCTCAGGAAGCGTATTCCAGCAACAGAGCGGGCTTTGGAGCTCTCTGAGACTGGAATCAAACAAGGAAAGGCTCAATCACTGATTGCTGGAAATACAGATCTCTGCCTCAACTTACGCTACAGGGCACGGAGAGAAGGGTCACAGATCTGGGCTGAAAGCCCATGGCTTCAAGGTCGAGTTAACCTCAGCACTGAAACAGGCATTCCAATCACCCCAAAGGACTAGAGCTCTGAGTTCTATACTGTCTGCACAGGTTGCTTTTATGAAACTGATAGTCATATATGCTATGCAGCTTCCAAATAAGACAGGAAGCTACCCACTTCCTTCTCACACACAGAGCTCTTCCTGCTAGAGAACACTGGACACCTTGAAGCCATTTCCAGTGACCGCCAGACTGGGCTGCCCTCTTTCCTCAGGCTGTCCCAGTTGAAGAAAGGCTTTGTTATGCGGGCAGTCATCCCAAGAACTCACGGCAAGAGAAAGGTTTGTTTTCCTTCTTCAGATGAGAACTACTGGCCTAAAGTGCCTCCCTCACCTCATATTCTGTGATTTAATCCCGCATAACTTCTTTCTCCCCCATACACCCCCAGAAGCTGGGCTCTGTTGAGGCCACTTCCTTCCATGTCCCCGTCTCCTCCTCTTTTGGACGTCTCCTGCCTCTTGTTCAGAGCTTAGCTATGCTTCCCACAGGTCCTAAGAATACTCTGCACCTTACTGTTGTCACTCAAGGCTGCTAATGCTGATGTTTTTCAGGCTTCAGCTGTCATGGCTGACATGTCTACCTTTTGACAAGACGACACTTGAACACACTGCAAGGGCCACTCACCGTTCTTGTCATCCATGGGCATTTGGCTCAGCACGGTTAGGCCGACTAGGACATAGTAGACAAGCCCGAAACAGTACTGCACAACGTGAATCACCGCGTTGGAGAAGACGCTGACGTAGAAACACTCGAAGAGTCTCCGCAGGCTGTGGACCCAGAGGAACACCAGCACCAGGAAGGCAGACAGAGCCAGCTCACCCACTGCAGTGCAGAAGGCAACACGGTCAGGGGCTCCTCCAGCATTAAGCCAAGCGTTCTGTTTACCCACCTGAAACAGAGCCTCACATAGGCTCGGAGTCAGAGGGCTGGAGGGGCCATTCAAACTATTGTCTTCCTCTTTCAAGCCATGAGGACACAAGCTGAATAATGGCCACGTGGTCAGCTAGAGGCAGGGTGGTGGGAAGAGGGAACAGGACGCATTTCTGATTCTACTTTATCATTTAAGAGCCTTCCAGGCTACATGGACGTCATGAGGAAGGTTCTGTACGCTCAGGACTCGATCCGTGGGTCTCTAGTTCCTGCGCCAACTGCTGGATGCAAATGGTCAGGGAGAGGTTCATGGTGATGTCAGTACTGCCCTATCTGGTGGGATCCCGGGGCCACACCCACCCACAAAGGCAGAGACAGGGACACGGATCCAACAGGTGGGATTTTTTTTTTTTCAGATGTAAAAAGTAGAAGACGGGAGCTGGGCTGGGTGTGAAGCACTTGCCTAGCATCTGGGAGGCTCTGGACTCCATCTCCAGTGCTGCCGAAAGAGAAAGGAAAGGAGAAATTACGCTTTCCGAGAGACCGTAGGTCCCAAGATCCACCTTCCTGCAGGCCCTTCATTACGTGCGTCAAGGAGTGTGAAGAAAGCTCATTTTTAAACATCATAGAATCTAGTCTGCTGTTTATAAAAGAGTAACATGGACACAATCACAGGAACAGAGTTTGGTGAATTTTCACTAATTCCCACGTATTACTAGCACCCAGACTGAGAACCAAGACTTGACTAGCACCCCCTAGTGTTCCTTTCTAAGCATGACCCTGCATCTCGCTGTCCCAACGTTGAGGACTCTGTTAGGCATTCTACCAGCACAGATCTGCTTTGCTCCTTTTGTATTGTGAGTAAATTCAAACCCAGTTTTTAAACTCTTTATGAACTGGATAAAGCAAAGAAAACTCCTCAAATCTAACCTTCCATATACAACATGACCATGGTAAGCAACAAAGCCATGCCCAGGCATCAGACCCCCCCCCCCCCGCCCCATCCCCCCTCTCTCTCACCGAGCCTGGAGATGCTGCCATGGCCGTTTAAATGCTAGTTTGTAATGATCTGGCCAATAGCTGCTCACAGTTTCATTGTTTAACTGAAGACGCACAATATAACAAGCCATTTTCGTTTAATTTTAATTAACTACTCGTGTGTGTGCATACATGTGTGTGAGTACGTGTGTGAGTGTGTGCTGTGACGATGTCAGAGGACAACTTGTAGGAGTCTGTCTCCTCCTCCTCAAATGTGGCCCTTGAAGATGGACGTTGGACCACCAGGCCTGGTGGCAAACATCTTTATCCACTGATCCATCTTACCAGACCTTTTTCAATGTTTACCAAAAGGTAATTTTTAAAAATCAAATTTCCGTAAGCCCCAAGGCATGATTCTGGCTGCAGTCGTATAAATATGATAAATGTTTCAATGCAAACTCAGGGATTTCCAAAGCTTCCCCAGCACGGGTAAGGCCTCTTTGTAAGCTTATCAGCATACTGACAATATCAAAGGGAGAGCAGCCCGCCCTGCATTCAACACAGGCTTGCTAGGCAGCGGACCAGTCATGCAAACCTGGTCTGCCCTCCACTTTCCAGGCCCTACAGAGGGGCCTGATTGGCGAATTGCAGACAGGAACCAGGAACAGGCTGGAGAGCCAAATTACCTCGGAACGGCGTGGCCCCAAGAGTTCTGAGCAAAGCACGCAGCCAGTTTGGAAAAGGTGCTCCCAGGAAGAGAGATTGAGAAAGGGACCAGAGCAGGAAGCCATTCCACAACACCGAGATGACGTAGAAGTGGGAAAAGTACCTGCAACAGGAGGAAGAGGTCCAGGTAACCGCCAGCTAGGACCTCGCAAGTCCGCCAGTCCAGGTAACCGCCAGCTAGGACCTCGCAAGTCCGCAAGTCCAGG